CAGTGATAACACTAAACATTTTATACCAGGCACTTAGAGCACCTGAAATATTTCCCCAGACCTCATTAAAATATACTGCCTGATGAAAAGGTTAAAAATATACTGCCTGATGCTTACATTACTTTACATCAACAGCTGTGGCATACCAATATTTTTCCAAGCAAAAGTTAGCTTACAGATCCTCAGTTTCCTGCCAGGATATTCAAAACCTTTTAGCATATTTTTAGATGTTGTAAACATACAACTGTCTTTTTTTAACTAGTTGTACAAAAAGGAGATTTTTGAAAAAACTTTCATTAAGAAGCAACAGTCATTCTAGAGCAGTATTTGTCAACCTTCCTAATGCTGCGACCCCTTGATACAGTTCCTCATCTTGTGGTGACCCCCAACCATAAAATTATTTTTGTTGCTACTTCATAATTGGAATTTTGCTATTGTTATGAATCGCAATATGCAGGATATATTTTCATTCACTGGACCAAATCTGGCACTATTACCTTATACGCCAAATCTGATCACTGATGGGGTTGCTGGAGGGGAGGAGATTGACTTTGCCATTTGGGAGTTGTAGTTGCTGGGATTTATAGTTCACTTACAATCAAAGAGCATTCTGAACTCCACTAATGATGGAATTGAACCAAACTTGACACACAGAACTCCCATGATGCACAGAAAATACAGGAAGGCTTTAGTGGGCATTGACCTTGAGTTTTGGAGTTGTAGTTCACTTACATCCAGAGAGCACTGTGGACTCAAACAATGATGGATCTGAAGCAAACTTGACACGAATACTCAATATGCCCAAATGTGAACACTGGTTTGGGACAATAGATCTTAACATTTGGGAGTTGTAGTTCCTGGGATTTATAGTTCACCTACAATCAAAGAGCATTTGTAATTCCACCAACAATGGAATTGAACCAAACTTGGCACACAGAACTCCCATGACCAACAGAAAATACTGGAAGGGTTTGGTGGGCATTGACTTTGAGTTTTGGAGTTGTAGTTCACTTACATCCAGAGAGCACTGTGGATTCAAACAGTGATGGATCTGGAATACTCAATATGCCCAAAACTTGACATGAATACTCAAAATGCCCAAATGTGAACAATGGTGGAGTTAGGGGACAATAGATCTTGACATTTGGGAGTTGTAGTTGCTGGGATTTATAGTTCACCTACAATCAAAGAGCATTCTCAACCCCACCGATCATAGAATTGGGTCAAACGTCCCACACAACACCCCCATGACGAACAGAAAGGGGCTTCTGAGAAACGTAGTTTGACCCATGGAGAGCCCTCCGAGTTGGGAGGAATTGACAGTGAATTGACTACCCTTGGTTGAAAGGACAATCGGCCAATCACATCGGAGGAGGGCTTTTGGTGGGAGGATTCCTCTGTCTGTTTCCAAAAAGGAACAGAAGAACAGGCAGAGAGATCTTCAGCTCTCTCTGCCAAAGGGTTCCTATGACCATCAGAATATATGTTTCTGATGGTATTTGGTGACCCCTCTGAACCCCTCCTCATGACCCCCCCATAGGCTCGACCCCCAGGTTGAGAAACACTGTTCTAGAGCATCAGAACTCTCATCAATAAAACCATATTGAAAAATAATATAGTAATTGTTATTTGAAAATCTAAATCAATGAAATTGGAAGATAATTAAATAATGCTAGCTCCAGCTTGCATCTAGCATCTTAATGATGAATTGATTTACCAGTGTCCTAGACTCACCCGTTATCATTCTTTCCCACTTTACCCATGATTATATGTATCTAAGGGAACATTCATCTGATGAAATGAACTCTAATTCTGGAAACACAACATGTCTTTTAGGGCAGGGTTGGAAAATATTCAGCCCTCAAGATGTTGTTTCACTACAATTCCTAGAAACCTTGTGATCAGTAATGCTGGGATTTGCAGCTCAACAAAATCTGGAGGACAACACAATTCCCATTTCTTCTTGAAGATAGCACAAAACATAAAGGGATGATTGTTTTGTCTCTCTTCTCTGCAACAACACACCTACAAACCAAATGAGGGGTAGGACCTTTGATGCCTACGGGTAACTTGATGAAGAACTAGACGAGAATGGCACTTTGGGTGACTTGGAGATCTCTTTTGTCAGAGGTCAGAATTGATTAACTGCTAAAAGCTTTTTAAATTGGGCCAAAGATTGCATGTAGCCCCAGGGTTGAAGGCTACCCATCCTTGCTATTTAGGGGGGAAATTATTTTTGCGCAGGACTCTCTGATGATTAAATAAGTAATAACAAAAGGATGTGACTCTGAAAAAGCTGGTATTTATATCTCAAAACATAGAAGAGAATAATCATCCCCTATGCATGAAATTGAGGGTCTTTCTGCAACTCACAAGGGATTGGGTTGCTTGAGTTTTTGAGTTAAGGCCAATTTGGAAATCTTATTAAAATGTATTGATATAAGATCATAAATTCGTAATTATCTGAACTTCAGGCACAAAATGGGTTTCCTCCCTGCACATTGCCAGGAAGACACGCATTCAAACCATGGGTTGTCTGCTCTGCAGAAAACTACATGAAAATAACTAATTCCTGGGTTTCAGCATTCAATATTTTAGCTCCAAGCAACAAAGTCCTACCTGCAACTGACCACTGACCCTGAAACCTATGTAATTGGGTTAGAAAAAGTCTCGTGTTTTCAATGGTGCTTACTTTTTATATATTGCACAGGTAAGCAAAGGGCTGCAAGTTAAATGGTTCGTTGTTTCTTTATATATGGGAACATAACAGATTCCCAATTCAAGTAACTAGAGTGACTCTCCAGAGACAAATGAAAGCAGCCACTGAGCAGCAGCAGAAGAACTGTATCAGCTACAAACCCCTTTAAAAGGTTCAGGAGAAAGAAATCAAAGAGACTATCGTGACCACTTATATATCAGCTACATCCACACTGCAGAATTATAGCAGCTTGAAATCACATTAACTGCTATGGCTTCATGAAATGGAATTCTGGAATGTGTAGTTTTGTGAGATATTTATCCTTCTCGGTCAGATAATTTTGGTGACACAACAAACTACAAATCCCAGGATTCCATACGATGGAGCCTTGGCAGTGGAAGTGTCAAACTACTATAATTCTGCAGTGCACATGGTCTCATACTCAATTGTAATACACTTGTTGCATACCCTACCTGTAGTAAAGATGTAGTATTATATTTAGCATTGATACCTAATGCTGTAGTATTCCTTTCACTACAAGCTGAAGAAAAGAACAAATATTCTGATCTTTTGTGCTCTGCAGATATAGACAGAGATATTAACAATTACTTGAGTTTCAGCAGCAACGGGGGTGAAACCTAACACCTTGCTATTCATGCGCAGACTATGAAAGAAAGTCTGCAAAATGCTACTCCTCTGTGTCACAATCAATTATCTCAGTATGTCTCTTTTAACCCATGCCCCATTCCTTGAATTTATTTGCCACTAAAACTGCATGCCACTTGGTCCTTTAGTAACTAACATATAAACAAACTATTGGACCAGACTGCTCTTTTATGTTCCTTTAACTTTCCACAGGTTTTAGCTCTCACTCTTCTTAATTATATCTCCCATGAGATGAAAATAATTCGTAGTAATTCAGTATGATTCCCATATATCCTAGTGAACAAATGGGCACACAGAAGACTGGGCGACTTGGAAGGCGCTGAACAGACTGCGCTCTGGCACTACAAAATGGGTTTCCCAGTTGGGAAAATTCTTGTCTGTTGGAGCTAGGTGTGAATGTTTCACCTGACCACCTTGATTAGCATTTGATGGCCTGACAGTGCCTGGGGCAATCTTTTTTTGAGAAGTGATTAGATGCCCTTGACTGTTTCCTCTCTGTTGTTTTGCTGTTGTAATTTTATTTTATTTTAATTTGATTAGCATCAAATGCTAATCAAGGTGGTCAGTTGAAACATTCATACCTAGCTTCAACAGACAAGAGTTCTTTGTCCCACCCTGGTCATTCCACAGGTATATAAACCCATTTTCCTAGTTCCAATCTGAGGATGCTTGCCATAGATGCAGGCGAAACGTCAGGAGAGAATGCCTCTAGAACATGGCCATATAGCCCAAAAAAAACCTACAACAACCCAGTGATTCTGGCCATGAAAGCCTCCGACAATAAACTCTGAATTGCTACCCTGATTAGGTTGTGATCCTAACAGTTTATGATCTATATATGCCAATGGACAACGATCCTGACAGGTCATGATCTATTGTCCTCCATAAATACAGGGATTCCAAAATCTAAAATACTTCTGGTCCTATGTACTTCAGGTAAGAAATAACCAACCTGAACTATAGCAGTGACAGGGAATCAAGTGCCTGGAAGATCTTATAAGTCTGGAATATTTCTGCATATCCACTACATCACTACTTCATTAGAGACTTCTGAAATATACTCTAGGAGGTCCCAATACAACTCTCTACCCTCCAGTTACCCACCCCTCATTATACATTTCTTATTGAGTTCAGTTGCTAACTCTAAAAATCCTAAAATTTATTTATTTGTTTATTTATTATTAGGAGCATCTCTATCTCCTTTTCACCTCCAAAGATGGACTCAGGACGGCTACCAACAGGCACCATTGGTTGCCGAACAATAAAAACAAAGCATAGTATACTTTTAGCATACATTAAAACAATTATAAATACATTAAGACATGCCACAAATCCTCTCATCGTTTAGACTACTGGTTGGATCTGTATACTCACAGACATGCACACACTTGTTGTTTTAAGAAGAAACAAATGCATCAACAATACACATTTGCTTCCAGGCAAGCTAACTAAGCACTTTCACAGTGCAATCCTACATACACGTCTACTCAATACGCAACAGTTGCTGCTCCCAACCCCACCCTGAAAAAAATTATGTTCAAAAACAGACACTTCCTGCTAATCAGTTTTAATTTAACTCAATGTTAACCGGTATATAATGCACAATATATAATCCTTTGCAGAGTAAGTATCCTACCTCTTCTGAATTTTCTGTGCTGGCATCTTTCCCGGTCCCACTGCTGCCACTACCACTGCTGCTGCTGCTGCTACTAGCTTTTGTAGTGCTTTTGGTCGATTTTGGAGGGTCCTGGAGGATGAAACGAAAGAGAAACACAAAGAAGAGAAAGAGCATTTACAGATGAGTTGCTCCATTAAGGACTTATTACGGTTCACGTCCAGATGAGACAAATATTGTGAAACTGGAATTCCAGTGACCATAAAAAATGACATTTTCCCCAGGAACAACTTCCATAGCATACCATGCTCCACAAGTGGGTGCCCGAGAGGGATGTTCTTCCCAGGACAAGAGGAAGGTCTCTGTACAGCAACACACTGAGCATCCTCTAAGCAGCGCCCCTGGCCTGATCCATTCTCTTTCCCTTCTGAAAAGGCATCTGACTTCTTAAGCCCACCCCTTCCCTCCCACTGAATGGGGGAAACCACCCCTTTAACTGCTTCAGAATACAACCCTTTGAAGAGCTCTCTGGCCTCTGCTCACTGCTCCTTGGAAGGAAAAGGACTTATGTGTCAAACCAAGGACATGCTGGGAAGGAAGGAAGCTATTATTTAGGCAATGTAGATCCAGAGAAAGGTCAGGGAATAAACTAAGGAAGCTGCAACGTATCACCTGTAGTGAGCAGCTAAAAAAGCCAATGGGATTTTTTAGCTGCTCAGATAGGAATATAGTGTCTAGATCAGTACTTCTCAACCTGTGGGTGTTTTGGCTTTCAACACCCAGAAATCCCAGTTTACCAGGTGTTAGGATTTCTGGAACGCCAAAACATCTGGGGACCCACAAGTTGAGAACCACTGGTCTAGATCAGTGGTTCTCAACCTGGGGTCCCCAGGTGTTTTGGCTTACAACTCCCAGAAATCCCAGTTTACCAGCTGTTAGGATTTCTGGGAGTTGAAGGCCAAAACATCTGGGGACCCACAAGTTGAGAACCACTGGTCTAGATTAAGAGACGTCATGGTGCCCCTCTATCCAGCTTTGGTTAGACCTCACCTGGAATAGTGTGTCCAGTTCTGGGCAACACAGTTTTAAAGAGGTATCAACAAGCTGGAAAGTGCCCAGAAGAGGGCAACTAAAATAATCAAAGACCTGGAGCGTCTTGAACTGGGTATGTTTAGCATGCAGAAGAGAAGGTTGAGAGGAGACATGATAACCATGTATAAATATGTGAAAGGGTGTCATAAGGAAGAGAGAGCACACTTGTTTTCTGTTGCCCTTGAGACTAGGACTCGGAGCAATAGGTTCAAATTATAGGAAAGGAGATTCCACCTGAATATTAGGAAAAACTTCTTGACTGCACAAGCTGTTCAATAGTAGAACTCTCTGCCTTAGAGTGTAATGGAAGCTCTTTCCTTGGAAACTTTTAAACAGAGGCTGGATAGCCATCTGTCAGGGATACTTTGTGATTTCCTGCATGGTAGGAGATTGGACTAGATGGCCTATGTCAGTGGTTCTCAACCTGTGGGTCCCCAGACGTTTGGCCTCCAACTCCCAGAAATCCAAACAGCTGGTAAATTGGCTGGGATTTCTGAGAGTTGTAGGCCAAAACATCTGGGGACCCACAAGTTGAGAACCACTGGTCTAGATCAAGAGAAGTCGTGGTGCCCCTCTATTCAGCTTTGGTTAGATCTCACCTAGAATAGTGTGTCCAGTTCTGGGCAACACAGTTTTAAAGCTATATCAACAAGCTGGAAAGTGTCCAGAAGAGGGCAATAAAAATTATCATGTTTAGCATGGAGAAGATTGAGAGGAGACATGATAACCATGTATAAATATGTGAAAGGGTTTCATAAGGAAGAGAGAGCACACTTGTTTCCTGCTGCCCTAGAAACTAGGACTTGGAGAAATTACAGGAAAGGAGATTCCACCTGAACATTAGGAAGAATTTCCTGACCTTACAAGCTGTTCAACAGTGGAACTTTCTGCCTTGGAGTGTAGTGAAAACTCCTTCCTTGGAAACTTTTAAATAGAGACTGGATAGCCATCTATCAGGGATACTTTGTGATTTCCTGCATGGTAGGAGATTGGACTAGATGGCCTATGTGAGTGGTTCTCAACCTGTGGGTCCCCAGATGTTTGGCTTCCAACTCCCAGAAATCCAAACAGCTGGTAAATTGGCTGGGATTTCTGGGAGTTGTAGGACAAAACACCTGGGGATCCACAGGTTGAGAACCCCTGGTCTATGTGGTCTCTTCCAACTCTATTATTCTACCTATGAGTAGAAGAGACAGTCCATGAGAGGACAAAGCAAAGTCCTGGAAGGCTGAAGTTAAGTCAGGCAGGGTAGGAATTTCAAGGTGAGGGAGGTTCCTATCCAGCCTATAAAAAGTAGCAGAATTCTTTACTCTGCCTTTCCCAACTGTGATTCATCTATATTGTAGAATTATTGCAGTTTGCCATGGTTCAATGCTACAGCAATCATGGGATTTGTAAAACTAAACCTCCCATTATCCTACAGCATTGAGCCATGGCAGTTAAAGTGTGTCAAACTGCTTTAATTCTACAGTGTAGATGCACCTTCAGGGACCTCTTCTGGGTATTATCATAACTCTTATTTATCCCACATCTAACATATCTGAATGGAAGTTGGCGAAGAATGAATGAAAAGGAAACTAAACCCTGAAATCTACTTCAAAGATCACTTCCTCATGGTAAGTTACTTATGATCTGCTAGCAAGCTAACTAGTTTGAATCCCATGACACACTTGGGTGACCATGAATCAGAAAAAAATTAAGGATTTGATGGGACTTATCCTTAGGTCAGTTTGTAAGTCAAGGAGAAATGAACTCTAACACCACTTTAGTAAATACACCTGACAACTTCTGAGGATGCCTGCCACAGATGTGGGCAAAATGTCAGGAGAGAATACTTCTGGAACATGGTCAAACAGTCCAGAAAACTCACAGCAACACAGTAAGCAATGTTATCCATACTTCGCAGGAAATCGTAGGGCCCGTGTAATGTTATATCCTGGAAATATGGGACTATTACACTCTAATATTCACCTATAGTTGTTTATTCATAATGATAATGCATGTGGTGCCATGGATTCTCACAGGCAATCAAGTGCAACCCTGTTCATACATGCTCCTATGTTTCATAACACATCTCCCCATATACAAAAGTAAAACATAGGGAGATCCCTTACAACAACTCAGACCTTGATCCATCTAGCTTAGCAGTGTCTACTAAAACCTGGAAGAAGCTGCCAGTCAGTCTAGACTCTCCAGGGTTTTCAGCAGGCTTATTTCCAGCCTCATCTGACAAAATCAAATATACCACATTCTTCATTTGGAAGCATGTATTCCACCACTACTAGAAATGTTACATTCATGGCATTAGCATTCAGCATGCAAATTAAGCCCAAACAAATTCCTTTCTCTCTCTGTGTGTATATATATGTATATGTATGTATTTCAATGAGCAGTACTAAGTATGAGAGCTAGTATAAGGTAGAGACTTGAGCACTGGAGCACAATCCTTGTTCAGCCATAGAAACCCACTGGGTGACCTTGGGCAAGTGACAATCTCTCAGTCATAGAGACCAAACAGTTTGACAAGCTCCCATTAGGATTGCCATACGTTGGAGAGAACTTGAAGGCCCGCAATCACTTTCTGCATTATATTCTATTACACAAATATTATCATTGCATTTATTTAGATCAGTAGTTCTCAACCTGTGGGTCCCCAGGTATTTTGGCCTCCAACTCTCAGAAATACCAATCAGTTTACCAGCTTTTAGGATTTCTGGGAGTTGAAGGTCGAACCATCTGGGGACCCACAGGTTGAGAACCACTGGTTTAGATTCTCCTTTTGCCCCAGCCATGGGTCTTAAATAACAGCACATGTGGACATGTGCATTATTCTTAGAATATCTTTTGTGCTTATTCGCAACTTTGGTACCTACACTCTTCACTCTGTGTATATTCTGCATATAGTAGCTCTGTATTTCATCTGTGAGACTCTCTATATGTTGTGACCCCTCCAACTATTTAGATTTCCCACTTTTTCAGCTCCTTTACAAATAAACTGCTTTTCTTCACCTTTTCCTACTCTGTCCCGCTTTCTCCTCAGTTTACTTCAACACTGGCTTTAGAGTTGGATCATGTGATTTTAATTGATGTTTTAATGGGTTTGGTTTTAATGTTTTTGTTTATTTACCAATATATTAATATATGGCATTGGATTGTTGCCTATGTAAGGCCGCCGTGAGTCCCCTTCGAGATTGAGATGAGCGGGATATAAATGTGGTAGATAAATAAATAAATTTATTTATTTATCATGTCAGGCAACCGAACAGTTGTATTACATTTTTAACAGAACAAACAAGGATAAATAAAGGTTGCAAACTCAGACCCCATTTACACTGCCATATTTGCCAACGGAGACCCCACCTACACTGTCATATAATGCAGACTGAAACTTCATTACATGTTAGTGAAGACTCATATTGCTCTGAGATCAGAATGAAGAGAGGGGCCAGGAAGGCAGTTCCATCTTGTCTCCTGCACTGTGCTTATAATAGAATAGAATAGAATAGAATAGATTGTATATACATATAATATTGATATTATAATGTAATAAAATATACTATAATAATAAAATGATATTATAACTATATATTTTATATTAAATTTAATATTACTAATATTACAGTATAATGTTATAGTACAACATAATATATTGTACTATAACTATCATAGCACAATATTAATATTACATATTACAATGTAATATATAATATTAATATTGTGCTATGATAATAATAATATATTGTATTTACATTTTACTTGTAAGCTGCTCTGAGTCCCCTTCGGAGTGAGAAGGGCAACATATAAATGTCATAAATAAATAAATAAATATTGAATTGCATGAGTCTACACAGCAGGGAGGGATGCAATCTTGCCCTTCCCACTACTGCAGTGGTTCCCAAATTGTGATCTGTGGACCACCAGTGGTCTGCAAGAATGAAAATATGGTCCGTGGCCTCACCATTACTACAGCGTTGCCTCAAAACCACACGGCAATGAGAACGATTGGTCTCACTAAACCCTCTTATAGAGCTGAGGCAACGGGGATGTCGGGAAGCTAGAGCTGATGTGGTCTATCCAATGCAATTTTCTTAACAGTATTATATGAGTCTACACAGCAGGGAGGGATGCAATCCTGCCCCTCCCACTAGAGCAGTGGTTCCCAACCTGTGGTTCATGGATCACCAGTGGTCCAAAAGACCTAAAGTATTGTCCGTGGCCTCACCATTGCCTCAAAACCACGCAGCAATTAGAGCGACTGCTCTCGCAAAACCCTCTTATAGTGCCGAGGCAACGGGGATGTTGGGAGGGGAGTGGCTGACTATACACAAAAGATTATTACTACCACATTGGCTATAGATTATTAAATATGGTTTTCTATGGCCAAGCAGATGGTGACTACTGCATGGCATATGTTCTGATCGGTAAGTAGAGCTGATGTGGTATATCCAATGCAATTTTCTGAATCAGCACCCCAAATAAACAAACCAAAACTAAAGTTGACCAAAAACTTATTTGTAACCCTTTTGGTACTAATGTTGAAGGGTGGTCAAATGGTCCCAGGTTAAAAAAAAAGGTTGGAAACCACTACACTAGAGCCAGACAAAAGGAAATTGCTGGGAGCTCTCCTAGCTTGTGTGTTCTTCCTTATTATTAATGTTTCCATCCTAGTCTCCTGTCGTGGAGACTAGGACGCGGAACAATGGCTTCAAACTACAAGAAAGGAGATTCCACCTGAACATTAGGAAGAATTTCCTAAATGTGAGAGCTGTTCAGCAGTGGAACTCTCTGCCCTGGAGTGTGGTGGAGGCTCCTTCTTTGGAGGCTTGTAAACAGAGGCTGGATGGTCATCTGTCAGGGATGCTTTGAAGGCGATTTTCCTGCTTCTTGGCAGGGGGTTGGACTGGATGGCCCACAAAGTCTTTTTCAACTCTATGATTCTATGAACCATGTTTTGATATTGTTTGGTCACATGTGTCCCAGTATTCATTCATTTATTGTTTATTTATTTACTGTATTATGTATACTGCCTTTCTCAGCCAATTGGCAACTCAAGGCGGTTTTCTGAAATGTCAGAATGTATGGATAAAGTTGAGAAATACTGGGGGTTGCACTTCAAAAACCTATTAAAAAGCTACAAAACCCTCACACCCATCTTACATTTGCACGGTGCTGCATGAGAATTGTCTCTTAACAGAATCATGGTATATGTAGCTATAGTATTTACAACACAGCCTGCTATGTCTGCTATCTCACCATATTGCACACAAATTCAATGCTCCATAAACATTTACATGGGCTCTTTGTGGTCACTGGGGTTTGCTTCTAGGACATCACATTGATGCCAAAATCTGTAGATGACCAAATCCCACTATATTCAGTGGCAAAGAAAAATGATAAAACTAACATTTGCTTTTTGACATTTTTAGAAGCCATGGACAATTGAATTTGTGAATGAAGAATCTGTGAATACGGAGAGCCAACTATTGCAAACTCAACATGTAGGCTGCATCTCTGAGTGCATCTACACCAGGCATTGGCAAACTTGGGCCCTCCAGGTGTTTTGGACTTCAACTCCCACAATTCCTAGCAGCCAGGAATTGTGGGAGTTGAAGTTCAAAACACCTGGAGGGCCCAAGTTTACCCGGGCCTGCACTAGATATTCAGATTTGTGTACTTGTTTACATGTTTTGCTGCTTTGAGTCCCGATCTGGGAGAACAGCGGGATAGAAATAAATAAATACATAAATAATAAACATCAGAACAGTAGTCAATATCCTGAAAGTCTTCCCTTTTTTTAGATTACAGCTGTCCTAATTCCTGGTTGGCAAGGGTAGCAAGAGAACTAATGGTCATCTGTCAGGAGGGCTTTAATGGTGTCTTCTTGAATGGCTGGATGGCCCTGGGGAGTCTCTCCCAACTCTAGGAATTTATTATTATTATCGTCCTCATCATCTCACCTTTTGGATCATGCAGAGATCTCTTCTATTTTTCCCTTTATGCTGGAGCTGCAATTACCCAATACCTTCCGTTCTCACATACACATGCAACTCCACATTCGCATGCACATACATGTAGAGTGCACACAACTCCTTCACATGCACCTGTATATAGAGTACACACAACTCCTCATTCATATGCACACACATGTAAAGTACACTAGTTCATTCACACATACATGTGTATAGAGTACACACAACTCCTCATTCACATGCACATGTGTGTAGAGTACACACAACTCTTCATTCACATGCAAACATGTGTAAAGTACACACTAGTTCCCATTGACACATACAAGTGTATAGAGTATACACAACTTCTCATTCATATGCACACGTGTGTAAAGTACATGCAACTCCTCATTCTCATGCACAAGTGTAGAGTACACACAACTCCTCATTCATATGCACACATGTAAAGTACACACAAATTCCCATTCACACATAAGTGTGTAGAGTACGCATAACTCCTCATCACATGCACATGTGTGTAGAATACACACAACTCCTCACTCACTTGCACACACTTGTAAAGTACATGCAAGTTCCCATTCACACATACATACATGTAGAATACATGCAACTCTTCATTCTCATGCATAAATGTGCAGAATACACACAACATTCACAATTACACATGCACATGAGTGCAGAGTACACGTAACTCCTCCTTCACATACACATGCATGCAAAGTACACACAACTCCTCCTTCACATGGACATGTGTGTAGAGCACACACAACTCCCCATTCATACACAACTCTTCATTCACATGCAAACGTGTACAGAATACACACAACTCCTGCTTCACATGCATGCGTGTAAAGTACAGACAACTCCTTTCATAGGCACGCACATGTAGAGTACATGCAACTCTTAATTCACATACACACAACTCCTCATTCATACACAACTCTTCATTCACATGCAAATGTGTACAGAGTACACACAATTCCTGCTTCACATGCATGCATGTAGAGTACACACAACTCCTCATTCATATGCACACACATGTAGAGTACATGCAACTCTTAATTCACATACACACAACTCCTCCTTCAAATGCACACACATGCAGAGTACACAGTCTTCCTTCAGATGCACATACGTGTAGAGTACATGCAACTCCTCCTTCACATGCACAAACATGTAGAGTACACACAACTCCTCATCCACATACCCACAACTCCTCCTTCACATGCACAGAGATGCAGAGCACACACCACTCCTCCTTCACATGAGTGTAGAGTGCACGCAACTCCTCCTTCACATGCACACGCCTGTAGAGTACACGCAACATCCTCTTTGATGCAAAGCCCCCACTGGCTGATTCCCTTTCATCCCCGCCTTGCATTGTCTCCTCTCTGTGTGTATTGCCAACCTAGACATGCCCCTCTGCAGGTGTGTTGCATTGAGAGCTGGGCCTTTCCCCCTGATACAGAGATAGAGATGTATGGCCAATAGATGTGTTTGTGTGCTGGGGAGGGACTGGGCTTGCATGGCTGCAAATCCTATTCCTTGCCATGGGAAAGGCAATTGCTTCTGCTGCAGTGGCCCATCCAAGGCCCAGACAGGAGGCCTGCCTCCCTGGCTCCCTCCCTGCGAGGCCCGGCCAGCCTTCCTTCTTCCCCTCCCCTTTGCGCCAAGCCCTTCCCTGCTGGGGAGAGGGGCCCCTCCTCACCTTCTCCTTCTTCAGCTTGTAGGGCATCCCGGACCGTGAAGGGCTGCCTGTGGCCCCGCTCTCGGCCTTTCTCTCGTCTCTCGCCCGCTTCTCCTCCTCCTCGCCGCCGCCTCCCTCTCCTTCTCCTTCTCCCTCCCTCTTCCTCCTCTGCGCCCGGGCGGCTGGTTGCCCCCATTGGGCCTGCTTCACCTTAACCTGCCTGGCAACCGCCGCGTCGCTGTCTCCTCATTGGTCGGAGCCGCCGGCGCCGATTTTTCCTATTGGCGGATTCTGGGAAAAGGAGGCAAGGATTGAGGCGACTTTGCAAAAAAGCCCCACAATGGTGGGTGGGCAGGGGGGCGGAGGAGGGGGCCTCAAGTCTGTTCTCTGATGTGCATATAGGTCACTATGGCTGCTTCAGGAAATGGGAAGGGAGGGGTCCTCTTAATGGCCAGGGCTGGGCTGGGTTGGAGAAAGGGGGATTGGAGGCAGGCCCTTTGTCCAATGAGCTGCAATGGAGCACACCGGTTTCTCTGTGTCATTGTCAAGGAGAAGCAGCAGGCAGAGGCAGACCTCTCCTCCTCCACCCCCCTTTCTCTTTCCCTTTCTCTCTCTCTCAATTGAAGGAAAGAAGGGTCCAGGGGAAAAAGGCAGCTGCAATGCAGGTCGCACTCTTTGCAAAAAGAAATTTTGAAATACAATGTGTTTTAAATGTATCCATATCTATAATGCATCTATATCTATCTATCTATTATCTATATAAATAAAAATTTAATGTTTGTTTGTGGGATCAATATAACTCAAAAAACCACTGGACGAATTGACACCAAATTTAGATACAATGCACCTACTACTACATCAGACTGGAAAAAATCAACATATATCCCCATACCAAAAAAGGGAAATGCGAAAGACTGCTCAAACTTCCGTACAGTGTCCCTTATTTCTCATGCCAGTAAGGTAATGCTCAAGATCCTGCAAGGAAGACTCCAGCAATACATGGAGCGAGAGTTGCCAGATGTTCAAGCTGGGTTTAGAAAAGGCAGAGGAACGAGAGACCAGATTGCCAATATCCGCTGGATAATGGAGAAAGGCAGGGAGTTTCAGAAAAACATCTACTTCTGCTTCATTGACTATTCTAAAGCCTTTGACTGTGTGGATCATAATAAATTGTGGCAAGTCCTTGGTGGGATGGGCATCCCAAGCCACCTTGTCTCTCTCCTGAGGAATCTGTACAAGGACCAAGTAGCAACAGTCAGAACTGACCACGGAACAACAGACTGGTTCAAGATTGGGAAAGGCGTAAGGCAAGGCTGCATACTCTCACCCAACCTTTTTAACTTGTATGCAGAACACATCATGCGATGTGCGGGGCTTGATGAATGCAAAGCTGGGGTGAAAATTGCTGGAAGAAACATTAACAACCTCAGATATGCAGATGACACCACTCTGATGGCCGAAAGCGAGGAGGAGCTGAGGAGCCTTCTAATCAAGGTGAAAGAAGAAAGCGCAAAAGCCGGGTTGCAGCTAAACATAAAAAAAACCAAGATTATGGCAACAAGAATGATTGACAACTGGAAAAAGAGGGAGAAAATGTGGAGGCCGTGACAGACTTTGTATTTCTAGGTGCAAAGATTACTGCAGATGCAGACTGTGGCCAGGAAATCAGAAGACGCTTACTTCTTGGGAGGAGAGCAATGTCCAGTCTCGATAAAATAGTAAAGAGTAGAGACATCAGACTGGCAACAAAGATCCGCCTAGTCAAAGCCATGGTATTCCCTGTAGTAACCTACGGATGTGAGAGCTGGACCTTAGGGAAGGCTGAGCGAAGGAAGATAGATGCTTTTGAACTCTGGTGCTGGAGGAAAGTTCTGAGAGTGCCTTGGACTGCGAGAAGATCCAACCAGTCCATCCTCCAGGATTGCTCATTGGAGGGAAGGATAGTAGAGGCAAAGATGAAGTACTTTGGCCACATCAGGAGGAGACAGGAAAGCCTAGAGAAGACAATTATGCTGGGGAAAGTGGAAGGTAAAAGGAAGAGGGGCCGACCAAGGGCAAGATGGATGGATGGCATCCTTGAAGTGACTGGACTGACCTTGAAGGAGCTGGGGGTGGTGACGGCTGACAGGGTGCTCTGGCGTGGGCTGGTCCGTGAGGTCACGAAGAGTCAGAGACGACTGAACGAATGAACAACAACAATTATATCTATATAAATAAAAATGTAATGTTCGTTTGTGGGATTAGCATAACTCAAAAACCACTGGATGAATTGACACAAAATTTGGACACTACATCCCTAAGAGACCAACGAATGGCCATCACTCATAAACCCCTCCCAAAAAAGTGGAAAGGACTTAAAAACCTCAAAAAGCTAAATGATGAAACAGCGCATGCACAAAAATTATAGCTCCCAGCATCCTCTAGACCAGGCCCTTTAGGGGAGGAGGATGCTCCAAGTGCACTTCTTCCAAGCTGCAAGCTTGCTTCTCCTTGGATTTCTTTGAGAGCATCCCAATCCGTACATTTTTCCTATTCCCTATTCCTAGACTGCTACTCCCAGCAGTCCTCCAGATAGATATGATTTATAGATTAGACAGCTCTAAGATCTTCAGAGGAGGCCCTCCTCTCAGTCTCACTACCGTCTCAAGCGTGGTTGGTGGGGACGAGAGAGAGGGCCTTCTCAGTGGTGGCCCACCCGTCCACCTGCGAATGCCCTTCCAAGGGAAATAAGACAGGCCCCATCAGGGGTGGCTCAACCCATTACGCAAAGTAAGCATTCGCAGTATAGTTGCTTTTGCCCAGGGGCACTCTTGAGGCGTTCTTGGGGGAAAATAGACCTTGAAATATGCGAGTTGTAGTTACTGGGATGTATAGTTCACCTACAATCAAAGAGCATGCTGAACTCCACCAATGATGGAATTGAACCAAATATGGCACACAGAACTCCCAAGACAAACAGAAAATATATATCAGTGATTGGTGGGGGGGGGGGAGGGGGGCAAAATACTGTTGCTTACTATTGAAAATTACCTAGGGCCGCCTCTGGGCCCCATCCCTCCCCTCCTTTCGTAAGAGCTTGAAGACCTGGTGGTTTCAACAAGCCTTTGAAAATGACCAGCTCTAACTCAGCCCTACACATTGTCTAATACAGCCTTATTATTCCTACCAGTTACCCAGATTCTTTCCTCTAATCGGCCCCGGAATGAACAGCCACAGACCTGTACCTAATATTATTGTTGTCTGCCATAGCATTGCACTTAATTCCCGGGCCCCTAGAATTTTTGGGCTTGCACAAATCTTGGCTCGGCCTTTTAAATTTTTAATTGCCTTGAACAGGCAGGATTACTTTGAATATATGTGTGTTATGGCAACAATTTTTATCCTTATATTTTGTTTGTTAGTCTTATGGTTATGTTGTTTTTACTCTGTATGTTTTGTGATGTTACTTGGGAACCGCTCTGAGTCTCTGAGCAGTATATAAATAAAGTTTTATTATATTATTATAGAGATATGATAGAGATAGACAGATCAATCAGGAGGACTGCTGAGAGTTACAATCCAAGAATAAAGAAGGAAGAAAGGAGAGAAAGAAAAAGGGAGGGGAAGGAAGGAAAGAGGTAGGGAAGGAGGGAAGGAAAGAAAGAAAGAAGGAAAGAGGGAGGGAGGGAAGGAAGGAGAGATAGAAAGTAGGAGAGAAACAGGGAGGGAAGATTGGCCACAGCAACACGTGGCAGGTACAGGTAGTCTATATAAATAAAAACGTAATGTTCGTTTGTGGGATTAATATAACCCAAAAACCACTGGATGAATTGACACCAAATTTAGATACAATACACCTACTAACCCAAGGAGTGACCATCACTCAAAAAAAAAAAAAGATTTTGTCATTTGGGAGTTGTAGTTGCTGGGATTTATAGTTAACCTACAATCAAAGAGCATTCTGAACTCCGCCAATGATGGAATTGAACTAAACGTGGCACACAGGACTCCCATGACCAACAGAACACTAGAAGGGTTTGGGGGGCATTGACCTTGAGTTTGGGAGTTGTAGTTCACCTACACCCTTTCAAATCTATGATACTATATTTTGATACTATATACTATATCTGTCATATACATGTGTGTGAATCATATATATCTAGCTATATTTATGGCCAGATGGCTTTTTGTCAGGAGGGCTTCGATTCTGTTTTCTTGCCCTGGTGAAGGGAGTTGGACCGGACGGCCTTAAGGCAGCAACTCTCAGCCTGGGGTCTGGACCCCGGGGGGGGGGGGGGGTTACGAGGGGGTGTCAGAAGGGTAGTCAGAGACCACCAGAAAACACAGTATTTTCTGTTAATCATGAGGGTTCTGTGTGGAAAGTTTGGTCCAATTCTATCCTTGGTGGGGTTCAGAATGCTCTTTGATTGTAGGTGAACTATAAATCCCAGCAACTACAACTCCCAAATGACAAAATCAATTTTTTAAAGTTATGGTCACTCATTGGCCCGATAGGTTTATTGTGTCCAAATTTTGTGTCAATCCATCTAGTAGTTTTTGAGTTCTGTTAATCCCACAAATGAACATTACATTTTTATTTATATAGACTAGCTGTACCAACCACGCGTTGCTATGGCCAATCTTCCCTCCCTCTTTCTCTCCTTCTTTCCCTCCTTCCTTTGCTCCCTCTCTCCTTCCTTCTTTCCCTTTTCTCTCTCCTTCTCTCCTTCCTTCCTTCTCCACCTCTTTCCTTCCTTCCTTCCTTCCTTCCTTCCTTCCTTCCTTCCTTCCTTCCTTCTCTTTCCTTCTTTCTTTCCCTCCCTCTTCTTTCCTTTATTGCTCTCCTTCCTTCCCTCCCTCTTTACTTCCTTCTCTTTTTTTCTGTAGCATCATTTAGCTTTCCGTCATTTAGCTTTTTTGTGTTTTAAGTCCTTTCCGCTTTTGGGGGTGGGGGTGGGGGATGATTATGAGTGATAGTCACTTGTTGGTCTGTTAGGGATGTAGTGTCCAAATTTCATATCAATTCATCCAGTGGTTTTTTAGTTATGTTAATCCCATAAACGAACATTACATTTTTATTTATATAGATATATACACTATGCACACATATACCTAGTCTGTGTGAATCACAGAGAGAAAGATAAACGTATAGGATCAACTGTGAATTACAGAAAAACATA